ATTACATTGTTTTTTTTTTTTTTTTTTATTATTTTTGTGTATTTTAATATTGGAAAATGAAGGTTCAAAAGAGTGGTCATCCACAGTGGTAATTATCGCAGACTCTGTATAAATTTAATAAAACGCGTCGTTGACAGGGGAAAATTGAAATTTTTTTTTTTTAGATACGCAGTGCAACGCGGATTTATAAATGACCAAGCGATACGGTGAATTGGCAAAACGAGAAAAGCTCTCGAGGGGATAAAATTGTCGTGAGCTTTCGAAACGTGCACCTGCCTTAAAATAAATCTTGGCAAAAATCGCGACGAAGTCGGTATAGAATTGTTCAAAGGTTTCGGAGATCGCGCATCGTAAAGTAAAAAAAAGAGAGAAAGAGAGAGAGAGAGAGAGAGAGAGAAAGGGAAAAGATCGTCGAGCAAAGTCGTGGATCTGTTTCCTTTGAAAAAGAATCGGATGCTTCGGTAAGCAACGACCAATGAAATTCAGCTGTTTCGTGGAATTTCGGGGAAAAGAATCGTTCTCAAAAATTCTCGCGCGGCGAAAACCAGGAAAATTTAGCTACGTTGCCGATATCTTAAAAATCTATCCTTATTTTTATTTTAAAATACATCTCATGCATATATATATTTATATTCATTAATTGATGAAAATGTCTAAAAATATTTTTTTAATTCAGCTGAAATGTGTCTTCCACTTGTTCTATATACGCGTACAGAAACATTCGATCTTTCTTACGTCACGTTCGGTCCATTAATCACCGCGAATACACGCTCTAATTATTGCCCTTATATTAATCAGTTGCTTCTATCAATTTTTTCTTCAAAGCCTGATGAACGCATCAGGGGAAAAACTGGAACAACTCGAGCAACGGAAAACGAATGATTGTCGCGAAGAAGAAAAGATTTAACATCGAGACGTTCGAAAAACAAATTGCGTTTTATATAGATCTACGAATTAAATTAAAATAAATAACAATTTAGACAATTTCAAAACCGATACGGATAATTTGATATTTGGTAAAAAATTCATAGGATCCACGCGCGTAACGTCGGATCTTGTTTATTCGAGGAACGATACCAAGCGTCCAAAACCCGATCCCGTCCACCCGTCCTCGAAGACGTTCTCTCGATGGATAAACGAAAAGCTTTGGGGGAGGAAACAGATCTCGAAATTTCCGATGTTTCGCCCGCAATTTTCCCTGGCTGGAAACCGATTCGGTGGCGATTCAATTCTGCGGAAAGAAAGTTGGAACGGCGCGGTGACGGTAGAGAGCGTCGTCCTCTTCGCGTCGTTGGTTGGTTGGATGATCGTATATATATATATATATAAGAAGAGGAATCGAGCGAAGAGAGGGAGGGTGAGGGGTTGACGAAAGGAGAAGGGTCGAAGTTTCGCGAGAGTGGAAAGTTGGATGATGATCGTGGCTCGAGAACTCGTGGCGTAAGATCGTGGAGAGGTTCGGGCCTATTCTCGACAATTTGATTCCGGAAGAGACACTTCTCCCTCCGTTGAGCACTCCAGTGTCGAGGTGATTGCACCGCGACGCTCTGGGAATCCGACGTCGATGCCTGGCGACTATTTAACGTCGAAAATTGATCGGATATGCCAGAAGCGGAGCAGAGAGCTCCCCAAGATCCGCTCGCCTTCCCCATCCTGCTTCCCAGTCCGATAATATTCCACCTCTATCGCGATATCGCGTGAAAAATCTAATAGTAATTCGATTTCGTATCCGGCTAACCCATTGTACGGTTTAATTAAATTCTCTCTCTAACTCTAACGACCTTGCATCCTTGATGGATCGTTGCTAACGATCACTCGATCTTAATTAGAATCTTAGGGAACCGCGTTACGCTCCTCGTCTTTGCGATATTTCTCTATATATATATATCGTGTCAATCTCGGCGACGAGGGAGCACCAAATATCGTTCGTTCGAGTCATATATCTACATTTTACAACGTTGTAATTAATCGAGTACGAGTAACTCGATAACTCGGAGGATAAAATTTCATCGTGACGCGTTTGAAAGATGGAAGAAAGGGAAGAGGGAGACTAGAATACGAGAGAAACTTCGATCGACGAGGATCGTTACTATCGTTAATGGATAATCGATCGAAAGAAAGAATTTCCATCGAGAGAGTCAGGATAAATAGAAATCGGATGTTATCGTTAATAAAACACGCGTGTGGAAAATTGCACACGAGAAAATGGTGTCGCGTCAAAGTCGACGAGGCGGGTAACAGGCTGACCCCGGAGGACACTCGAATAACTCCTATGTACGTGTAGAGTTTCGGAGGGGGGAGGGATCGAAGAAGTTTGGAGGTTCTCTCTTCGAAAGTTGCCTCCAACCAACCCTGAGAATACGACCACTTGCTGCTCCACTCTCTCTGGCTTCTCCTGGCTCAAAGAACTTTTGCTTTTCTGCCAACGGCATTACCTTATCTTCTCCATCCACTGTCCCCTCGTTTATCTCCCTTTCTTTCCTATCCCCTCCTCCTCCGTTAACCCGGTGGAACCCGATCTTAATTAGGCAATTAACACGCCAGAAATAACGCAGCTTGCGTTTGAAAAAAATTTTACGGAAGAAACAAACCGGGAAATCGTGGCGAGAATTAATTTAAACTCTTTCGGTTTAAAGGAAATTTAAAACTTGCCGCCGTTTCCTTTCTTTTCCTTCCTTCCTTTTTTCTTCTTCTTCTTTTTTTCTTTTTTTTTTTTTTTTTTATCTTGTCTATGATCGAGAAAAGACCAAAAAAGACGCGGGACGAGAGATCGTGTCGAGATCGGTGTTTGGTTACGTTAACGGCCAATTTCCTCCTTCCTTGTCCACGGTGTTGTGTTTGATTAGAAAATTCCCGTTCGTCGATTAACTGGCTCGTCTGTTCCAGCCTCATTAATAGTTAAAGCGAGGCGATTCGACCTCAGGCGCAGACATCAAACGGAGTTTGAATTCTGCTTCCTTCCCTTGTAACAGATTCGTCGAACAGATTCGTTCGCGTACACTTGCCGACGAACTTCATCCTTGATTTTGAACATGTATATATATATATCTTAAACCGACTAACCGAGTTAACTGTCTGCCGCAGAATACTCTTTGATCTCGAAGACGTGAGCGCAAGATTCGGTGA